CAACTCCTCACATTCTGTGATCCTGTGATTCTGTAACACATCTGGGTGCTGACGTCCCAGTGCACTGACAGGGAAATGAGAGCTCGAGGTGTTGGTGCAGCACAGGTCATGTAGTGCTGAGCTGGTTGGCGCTGCTAAAAGCCGTGGTTCCTTTATGATGCTCCACGGAGTCTTTCTGTAGCAACGCGCTTGAAGGGGAGAGGAAAATTCTGGAGCGTTGGGAAGCCGGGCTGAAGAGAAATCATCTGGAAAAGGGAAGCAGTCATTAAATCCCGTGGTCACAGGCGAGGATTTGGACGTTGGCAGAATAATTTTAGCCAGCGATACACCTAGAGCAGCTCAGGTGCTTTTTGGGCTGGTTTATCGGGAATTCTGTACGTTTTTTGAGGAAAGCAGGAGAGGCGTTTAAGGGAGAGGAATCCTGACCGACAGCGCCGAGTCTGGGTGCAGATTTCGTAAAACAATTGCGAAAAAACCACCTTTTAGTTTCCCAAACATTTTGTTTCTGCTGGATGCTGCCGCTTGCTCTCCCTCCCGGCATTAAAACCGCGCATTTTCAGTCTGTCCCTTAGCATGGCACGGCTGTAGGTTTGTAGGGATGCTCCTAAGAGGTGCCCTTAATTAAAAGACTCCGAAACCTCTGTTTCAGCACCCGATGAAAACACAAAGAGGGACCCTGCGGCCGATGGCTTTGACGGCACCGGGTGCGACTCGGAGGCAGCGGGAGAGAAGCTGTGCAAGGATCCAAGCCCTGGAGTGATGTGGGACAGCCACTGGCATTCGGAAGTGATGGAAACAAGCGGCCCCGGGAGCGGCCTTGGGGGCGACACTCGCTACGACCGAGGCTTCGGCGAGCGCTTGGATTTCTTCAGCGGGCAGGAAAACGGCGTCGGAAAGACGGGGTGCGCCTTGAATAAATGCGAGAGGAACCCCAGCCAGCAGGAGCAGCCAAATCCCGTGGGAGGCCGGGAAGGGGAGGTGTTTTTGGGTGAGAGGAGCCTCGGAGAGAGGGCGTTTCGCCCACAGCACTTGGGGGAGAAAGACGTGGGGCAGCAGGGGGCTGCTCCAGCCCAAGGTGGCCAAAACCTCGCGGATTCGAGCGGCTTTCGGCACCGCGACGGCCTCGGCGGAGAGGAGCGGCCTGGGGAAAGCGAGGAGAATTCGTCTCCGTGCTGGGATCACCCGCAGGAGAAGTCGGAGGCGTGCGGGAGGTGCAGGCAGCATTTCGGGCCCCGGGGCGGCCCCGCGAGCCAGCAGCAGGGCCAGGGCAGGGGCAAGTCCTACATTTGCAGCGACTGCGGGAAAAGCTTCGTTTGCCACTCGTGGCTCGTTAGGCACCAGACGACGCACACCGGGGAGAGGCCCTACAAGTGCTCCGAGTGCGACAAAAGCTACAGGAGGAAGGATTATCTCCTCAACCACCAGCGCCGGCATTCGGGAGAGGGGCTTTTCCAGTGCCCCCTCTGCCAGAAAAGGTTCGTGCTCAGGAGGAGTTTCGTGAAGCACCAGGAAAGCCACGTGCAGGAAACGCATCTGACGTTGGGGGGTTGGCCCTGCGCCGAGATCAGGGGGTCTGTGATGTAGGAAATCCCATCCGGACGGGGGTTTTGCAGCCCCACGGGGCCGTCGCCCTCGCTGGGGAGAGGGCAGAACCACTGCTCTGTGCTGGATGGTGGTGGGAGGAGGAAGGGGCTGTTTGACAGCCGTCCCGAGCCCCCTCCCAGGCAAAGGGAGATGGTTTCGGGGTTGTTTTCTGCAGATTGTGTTGTTGTGGAGGTGTTTCCCAGCTTTCACCGGTGCGCGGAGCTGTTGGGGACGCGTTGGGGCTGCGTGGGAAGCCTGCGGTGCTCGGTGCTGTCACTTGTGATTTGTAACGCTTCGGGCTGGAGAATATCCAAGATGTTCTCCCGAGGCTGCTGGGAGGTTGGAGTCCAGGGGCTGGGCTGGAAACAAGTGAGTTAAAGTTACTAATTACCCATTGGGAAAGGAAACACTGAGCTGGGGCTGCTTGAAAGAAGCTTCTTGAGGGAGGGAGCAGAGCCTGAGAGGCAGCTTGTTCCCGTGATTAAATCCATTTAAATCAGCTCTGTGATGCTGAAC